AGGATTTTCTAACCTACCAGCTCCTCTGACTCGGCTCATAAAGAAGAACATCAAGTTTGAGTGGAACGAGGACTGTGAAAGAAGTTTTTCAAAACTAAAGAAATGGTTGACTACTGCATTTATGTTGGTATTGCCGAGCAGATCAGGTGGATATACAGTTTATAGTGATGCCTCCTACCTAGGGTTGAGTTGTGTTTTGATACAACATAGGAAAGTCATAGCCTATGGGTCTAGGCAGTTGAAGAGTAATGAGAAAACTACTCCACCCATGACTTAGAACTTACCACAATTATCCACGCCTTGAAGACTTTGTGTCATTGCTTGTATGGGGAGACCTTTCATATCTATACCGACTATAAGAGCTTGAAACACATATTCATTCAAAAGGATCTTAATATGCATCAAAGAAGGTGGATAGAACTCATCAATAACTATAACTGCAACATCTTATATCACTCGAGTAAGTGCAACGTGGTAGCCAATGCACTTAATAAACAAAATACAAGTATATTAGCTCACTCAATGGTTTTAGAATGTAGGATAATAGGGGCCGCACAACAGGTACGACTTCAGGATCTGAAGAGAGTCACATGTTTGGCTCACCTGATTGTTCAACCTGAGTTGATCCAAAGAATAAAAGAAGCTCAGTCCATCGATTCCACCTTAGCAGCCCTCAAGAAAGATGCAGAATAGGGAGTTATTTCAGAATTTTAAGTCTCTGTCAATGGGTTTCTTAGATTTCAAGACAAGGTGTATGTTCTAGGTGACAGTGAGTTGGAAATAGACATAATGATATAGGCCCATAGCTCAAAGTTTGTCATGCATCCCAGAAGCACCAAGATATATCAAAGTATGCAACTCCGATTTTGGTAGAATATGATGAAAAGAGATGTGGTTGACTTTATTTCTAAGTGTTTGGTATGTCAGCAGGTCAAGGTAGAGCATCAACGCCTAAACGGGCTACTTCAACCATTACCTATTCCGGAGTGGAAGTGGGAACATATCACAATAGATTTCATGACAGGATTGTCTAGGGCACGCTTAGGACATGATACCATCTGGATAGTTATTAACCGGCTTATTAAGTTTTCCTATTTCTTGGCCATCAGGATAACCGACCTCTTGGACAAGTTAGCAAGAATATATATCCAGGAGATAGTCAGATTACATGGAGTGTCATTGACTGTAGTGTCCGACAAAGACTCCAAGTTCACTTCTCAGTTTTGGTCTAGCTTTCAGTAAGCCATAGGAACGAAACTATCCCTTAGTACTGCGTTCCACCCTCAGATTGATGGATAGTCAGAAAGGACGATCCGCACACTTGATGATATGTTTAGAGCTTGTGTTCTTGACTTCAGGGGCCATTGGGATGACCATCTATCCCTGATAGAATTTGCCTACAACAATAGCTATCAAGTAAGTATTGACATGACTTCGTACGAGGCATTGTATGATCACCCATGCAGATCACTGATATGTTGGGAAGAAGTGGGTGATAGGAAACTGTTCGGCCTCAATCTCGTAAAGGAGACTATAGCCAAAATAGTTAAGATCAGAAAAAATATTCAGACGACTCAGAGCAGACAGAAAAGTCATGCGGACACCCGAATGAGAGATTTAAAATTTGAGAAAGGTGATCGGGTATTCCTTAAGGTCATTTAAGGGAATCCGTAGGTTTGGCAAGAGGGGGAAGCTAAATCTCCCGGATTATTAGGCCATTTGAAATCTTAGATAGAATTTGCACTGCCACCTACAGACTGGCACTGCCTCTAGAACTTTTCAGGATCCATAATGTGTTTCATGTGTCCATGCTATGTAAGTACAACCCGGACCTCTCTCACGTCTTGGCCCACGAGCCTCTTTCATTCCAGGAGAATCTGTCATTCGAAGAAGTATCGGTCGACATTGTGGACCAAAAGAGCAGAGTACTCCACAACAAAAAAATTTCTTTTGTTAAGGTCCTCTGGCAGAATCACACACTAGGGGAGGCCACATGGGAGCTAGAATTCTTCGGAGCCCAATATACCCACTGTTTGATTGAGTGAAAAAGAGACAAATTTGAGAGACTAAATTTCTTTTAAGGGAGGAGAGTTGTAATACCCTTAATTAATTTTAAAATGTTTAAAAAGTAGTGTATAAATATAATTTTTGAATTTTTATTTAGTGTATAAAATTTAATATTTAATTTGTAAAAATTATTAATTAATGTAAAAATGAAGAAAATTAAATAGAGGATGAAATTGAAAATAATTTTTTGAAAAAATGAGTGAAAATTTGGGTTCTGAAGTATTTTTGAAAGAAAATTCAGAAACTATGGGTCAAAACATAATTCAAAAAAATTGTGCTATGTAAGACGCCCAGTCAGCAGCCCCGACGAACTAGAGCGCGCCGCATGGCAAGGGACACTGACGCGGTACTATGCAGGAAGTCACGCGAGCGATCTGTATGCTCGCGATTGGACGTTCCAGATTCGTTCCTGCACGCACGAACAATCTGGATTCGTTCTCTCTCAGACACAATCGGACGGTACAGATTAAATCGCGATGAACGGTCCAGATTCACTCCCTATTTAATCACAATCGGACGGTCCAGATCAAATGTGATGGACACCCCAGATTAGAAGGGGACGAATATAAATAACCCTCTTCACACTAAACCCTAACTTTAGCCACCAGAGCCCTTCTACTGGAGAAGAAGACCCAGTCGCCGGAAGGAAGCCGACCGCCGTTAGCGCCGTGCCGGAACCACTTCTGATCGCCAAAAGAGGTAAAAAAAAAATTTTGTTCGAAATTCGATTTTAAACATCTTCATGGCCAAATTGAAGCAAAAGAACCAGCATATTAACCGAAAACTGAGGGCAAAGCCTGATGGCGCCGCTGCAAAAAATTGTAAAAATCCACATCTGATGAGGTCCTTCTCGATTTCCGTTCTGCATAATTCTTCTACCATTGTAATCACCGTTTCCTTCTCTATAGGTTGACCGAAGCAAAACACCCAACCACAAAGGTGAGTCGGCGAAGCTGCCGCACCAGAGAATCTCGCCGCTAGTGAGTTTTGGTTTTTTAATTTTTTTCGGTCAACCAATGCTTCTTAACGTATTTTCTCGCAGGGATTGATACAAAACCAGCCGAAAACAGCCGATCCGAAGTGGCGACAATGCCATCATAGGAGCACGGCAGAGCCGTCGTGCTAGAATTTTGAAATTGGCCAAAAAGGGGTCCTAATACTGATTTTGAATTTTTTTGGGATATTTCTAGGTATTTGAAGCGTGTTTTAATCCCCAAATAAAATTTTAAAAAACTTGGGGACCGCTAGTAGGCGCAGTCAATAAGTTTAGTATTTCGGGGATCAATTTGGGTAAGAATCCCTCACCTTATTCTCTGTTATGGAATTGAAGTCTAATTATATTTTGTACAATTTAGAAAATATCCATAATTAATTACAAGTTACTAATGGTGATAGAACCGGAAGTTATTCACTGTTGATTTTGTTGATTTATTTTATAGTTTAAATGCATGATAATACCTAATTGATTGATCTTATAGTTTGAATGTATGTATTACGTGCTTTATGCGATTATGGTTGAATTAAAAAACTGAAAATTAAAGGTAATCAAAAAATTATTTGATTAAGTGAATGGATGAAACGGCAGCCTTACTAGATATCCTGGGAGATGGTGGACGGACCGAGTACATAGAGAACCCTATCATGAACGTTGCCTCATACCGGATAGGGTATCGAGGTTTGGTAATTTGATGCTCATACTGAACAGAGTATGGGGACGACCCGTTTCACCCTCATATTGGACGAATATTGAGGTTTAGTAATTTGGTGCTCATATCGGACGGCGTATGTGGACAACTCATTAATTGAAAATGTTAAAGGAAATGGTTCACGCACTATGGGAACGTCCCTATGGACCCTGATGGATACTAGTAGGCTGATAAAAGAGAAAATTGTTGTTATAGCC